AAATACTATGTAAATTCACTGTTAGGTTAAATTACCTAAATGGGCCCTCATATTTTTGAATAAATGTGAAGCTGCCACAAAATAGACCATGGTGATCCGACATCCCCTTGTGCCTCCTGATTATCACCCTGCACCCCTGTGGGCACGTGTACTCCACAGAAACAAGACCCTGCACTTGACAAAATTCGGAACAACCTGGAATCAGTGTACCCTGCTTTCTTGTCTGCAGTACATGCCAACTTGGTACTTACTTGCTTTCTCTTCCTTTTGTAGGTTAGAGGCCACACAAGCATAGAGACAATGTTAATTTGGAGCTGACTTACTAGATAGTCGCTCATTAAGCAAACATTTATGAATGATCCCCAGTACATACTAAGGGTGCATAAAAATGGATAAGACATGAATCTGGAACTCATAAGAAGGGAAAGTAACATGTATGGAGAGCTGACTCTCAGCTAAGCATCAAGCTAGGGATTTTGATACACATGATCTCATTTATACTCACCACAACCCTGAAATATGGCATTACATTCCTCACTTTCCAGATAAGGGAGTAACAGCTCAGGATAATTTAAAAAAACACGAAACTTGGCTAAGCTCATGGATCTAGTGTAGACCAGGTCTATTTGAGTATAAAGTTCATTGTACTTCCTGTAATATGAGAGTGCACAGCATCTGGCAGAGGTGATGAGACAAGAACGATATACACAGTACCATATAGCTAAGTGTGATGTGAGGACTTTAGGAGCAGATGTGTTTGCTTCTGGTTGGTGAGATCAGAGAGAGCTTCTGCTTCTTGAATAATGGCATTAGAGCTAGGCCTCAGAGAGGGCAGGAGTTGAACAGCTTAGGAGTTGGGGCATTCCAAATGGAATGTTCTCCCACAACTGAGACCACATAGAGTCCGGGAAGTTCAAGGTGAGAAATGCGATTGGACTGGAACCTGAGCTATAAGTGGGAGAACAGTGGGGGAAATGGTGGGCAAAAAAAGAAGGGGCCAGATTGTGGGGTACCTCACATGTCAGGAAATTTAAAGTTTTAGATTTATAGACTGAGCAGTGTTATTGATGGCTTTTTGAGTACGGAAATGATTAATTGAAAGTGGAAAAATTAGTCTGGCAGCACAGAGCAAGCCATCTGGGGGTGTGAGCCAGCGTGATCCTGAAAAACCAAGGTGTGGCTGCGGGAACATGTGGAAGGATGTGAGTGAGACTGTGAAGTCAGATTCATTAGTGCAAGGCAGCCAGTGCGCCTGCAGAGGAAACGGATGATGCTAAAAATGATGGTGCGGTTCCCAGCCCAGATTACTGAGGCACAGTGGGATATCACATATTACAACACGGACGTCAGGATGAGGAGCAGGGGTAGAGGAAGGGGATGGGATGGGATGATGCATTGGTTTGGGGCATGGTAAGTGTGGCTGCCAGGAAGACATACTGGTCTAACTGTCCAGTAAACAACTGAAAACAGAGGGGAAGCGTCTGGGGAGAGGCTGGCACTGAGGCTGTGTATTTGGCAATAATCTGCACAAAGTGGATGTCAAAGGGGAGGATGGAGAGAAGAGACAAGGGGTCAGTTACAAAATCAACATCTTCCATCTAGGGATTTAGGGAGAAGAAAAGGACCCTGTGGTGGGACCAGAGAATGAGCAGGCAGAGGTAGAAGAAACGGTCAGCAGGAAATTAACAGTGAAATTTGGGAAGAACGTTTCAATGTGTTGATGAGGGTTACTGGGACGTTTTAAGGAATTTATAGGTCACAGGCTTTTTAATAACTGTGATAAAGCAAAGAGAATTTTGACAGTGAAGGGAAAGCTTAGAGGGGCAGGAATTATGGTTAAGTGATAGGCTTATTTTGTCATGTTTTTTGTTGTTAGACTATGGGAGACAAGAACATGTCTTCGAATGAGGTTCCCATCCCTCTGGTCTGTGTTTCCAAAGAGCGCCTTTTTCAGAGGTAGCGCACCAGCAGGGTGGTTATTATGATTGTGAAGAAAACGGCTGAGAGGAAGCTGTGTAAAAGAAAGACCATGAGACACACAGAGAGGTTTCCAAGGCCAGCACTGTTTTTCCTCTGTGGGACTCACCCTTCCATACGATGGCTCTGCCCCATAACACTATACCCCTCAACCCGATCTGTCCCCAGGCCTGGCTGTCATGGAGTTAGAACCTGACTATGACTCTGTCATTTTAGGAGACTAGTACAGTGTAGTGGGCTTTCAAGTTAGGTAGTCCTGGGTTCAAATCCTGGCTCTCCTGCTTATTAACTGGTTGTTGATGGGACCTGAGTCTCTAATTCCATATTTGTAAAAAGTGGGTAATATACATAATACATATTATTCATTTTCAGGATAAAATTAAAAGAAAATACCTAAGTAAAAAGCCAGACATGCAGTAAGCATTCAACGAATGGTCATGTTTTATTTTTCATGATGATGTTGATGCTGTTGCTAAGAGAGGAGACATGGTTCCAGATGACACAGGTGAAGAGAAACCTTGTCCTTTGAAAGGCTGAGGATGTGCTGAGAAGGGAGAGAAAGGAAGGAGACACACACACAAATTCATTGTGAAGAAATGGAAGTGGTGACAGCTTTCCCATGGAGAAGAGAAAAATGAGAAAAAATGGGATGTGCATCATCTTTTCAACAAGGTAGGAGTCTATTTATCTTTTAAGGTTGAAGGAGTATCCTCTCAGCCTCTGGGCATGTTTCTCTCTTTCCCAAACCCCTGGGTTGTTGTACGACACCTTCCTTGGCTACATCTCAATCTTGCTTCCCCGCCAAATCTAGACATAAAAAGAGAGGACCCCTCCTTCTGCCTCAGTTTTTGTCCAGCAAATCCCTACTCAGCACTGTGAAATCTGCTCTACCTAAAGCCCCCTAAATGAGAAGCCCAAAGGCTCTTTCAGTTCTGTCATTGGTCTTCCTGCTCTGACAGGGTTGATGATAATTCCTTCCTTCCCAGAGCAGTTTTCTCCCCTCACTCCCATATGCCACACCTTCCTGGTTCTGCTCACCCCATTCTCACTTGGTGCTCTTAGTTTTTTGGCGTGCGTTCGTCTCTCTCCCAACTCTTCAAAGCTAGTGCTCTCCACTTGTACTCTGTCTGCTTCTCTTCTCACTCGGATGCCTTCCTCCAAACTCCAGATTTTACTACCAAATACAGGCTAAGGATTCCCTAGTTACTGTCTCCAGCGAAGACTCTTTCTCTGAGGCTTAGACTCATGTATTGACCTGTGCTGGGCGCGTCCCACCAGGAAGTTTGGAACACACCTGAATTTCAGTATTCAGTTAAACTCAGTTAAACTACCCAGAGTTGTTTTTTTTTTTTCACCTATCCTCAAGGGCAATCATTGGTATTACCATCCACCCAGGCACCCAAACTATCTTTCATATCCATTACTAACCATCAAGATTTAAAAATTCTATCTCCTTAATATTTCTTGACTCTGCCTTCTACCCTTAATACGGCTACCACTAACTTTCCTGGAGCAAGCTTTCGTTACCTTTCACTTGGACTGTGGCAATAACCTCCTACCTGGTGACTCTGCTTCCAGTACTGTTCCCTGGAATGACCTCCCAAACTTGCCAGTGCTCAAAATTAGACCCTGTACTCTTCTACTTAAAATTCTTTAATGGTTTGCCAGCCTCTCTGAGTCTATAGAACAAAGTCCAAGCTGCCTAACATAAAAGACCATGCATGATGCGGCCAACCTCCTCTGCCGGTATACCTTGCTCTGAACTATGTGCTCAGCAACACTGGGCTGTTCAGGGTAAGTGCAGACACTCATTGGACTGTCCTTCACCTCTGTGACTTTGCTTATCCTTGGCCACTCTGCTCCTACCCACCTTGATCTGGTGAACTCCCTTTTATCTTTTACCATCGGCTCAGTCACCATCTCTTCTGACAAGCGTTCTTGACTCTTCTTCCTTGCTCCCTGCACCAACCTGAAGAGGTACCCCTCCTCTAGGTACCCGCATCTCCCTGTGAATTTCTCCATCATTCTGCATACATGACATAGCAATACTATTCATTGTGTTTATGTCTCACAACAGATGATGAACACCCTGGAACAAGGCATGTCTAATTTATATTTGTTTCCCTGGAATATAGCATATTGTTATAGGAATGTTGGAGGGTTTGGGAGAGCCATTGAGTGGAATGAGATAGTTGACAAAAGAAGAACCAAGGTGAGAATGGAATGGAATTTATTGAAGGCCCAACTGAAGTTACACAGGGTAACGCTGTGGTGAAGCCCTTAGGCTTGTTTTGTGACACTTAACAAAAGATTCTTCAGCCCAAGATGGAAAAATGGAGGGGGGGGGGTGTAACCTAGTGTTGGTGATCATCCAAAGAGGAGGATGGATTCTAGGGTGACAAGAGACCAGCTACAGAGACAAGTGAAGCCAGAAATGGCCGCTTGATACAGAGGTGAAGGCAGGGCCAACAGGAATGATGGGGGAAGGGGAAGGACTGAGTGGGCCTGAGAGAGAAGATGGTGAGGGGGGCGGGGAGCAGGGCGTGTGTGTGAGAGACAGAGAGAGACAGAGAGAGAGAGTTTAAGAACTGAGAGAAGATACAGTTCACAATCTAAAACATAGTGATGCCAGTGAGTAGAAGTTCATGCTGTTAAAAAAAATCATCTTTGGATTCATATTCTAATAAAATAAAATAAATGTCATTCTGTTCTGTAATAAATATGTTATTGTGATTAAAAACCTGTTTGCCAGTTGGTGAACTGTGGCATTTTGCATCACATTCTATAGTCAGAGAATCATATAAATTGGAGAAATAATGACAGGATAGCTTTGGGATATAATTCTTCTATCTATTTATGGAAGCAGAGAATTCAAGCCTAATGTTCAGTTACATAATCTGAATTTTATCCAGCCTTCATTTTGACACAATTTTTCCAAAAGCATGACAAATGAAAACCACTCTAGCCCCTCTTTCCTGCAAATAGTTTATTCATCTATTGTTTTAGCATCTAGGAATACTTACCACAAATGAAACAGGTTGTCTTTAGAATTTCTTCTTTTTTCTGCTTTTCACTTCTGAGGTCAGCAAAGGTATCGATGATAACACCAAAAATCAAGTTAAGAACGATAATGATAACAATGAAATAAAAAAGAAGATCATAAACCACTCTGGCAGCAAACAAGGGCTCCTGAAAAAAACATTTAAAAACAACATATTAATACATACATACTTTTATGGCATGTTGATTGAGGACATTGTCTAGCATAGAGAATATATTCAATAAACGTTTGTTAAATGAATAAGTAGAATCCCAAGTAGGAAAACTAAGACCCACTTTCTATCTTTATTTTCTTTTAAGTGTTATAAGAAAACTTCCTGGTCTATTCCCAGAACCCTGTCCATTTCTCTAGGATTAACATACGGTGAGACTTAGCTTTCTCTAGAAATCACTTTATTATATCATTTGGCTACAGCATTTTGGCACAGTGTCCCCCTATCCCAGACATCACACAAAAGGTAGTTAAACACCCATTCCAAAGGTCAGCAATTAGGAAGCTGAGGAGGAACTAATGATTTGCCAATTTCTGGAGTAGGTCTTGTTGTTGGCCTTACAGGGCCAAGTATATACAGCTCAGGCTTATTTCTGCCCGATGACCAGTATTAAAATACACATTAGAGATTGTGTAATGCAGTCACTTAACAGATGAGGGACTTGAGGGTTAAGAGGTTAGATGATCTGACAATATGATACAACTGGCCTGAGTAGAAATAAGATTTTTCAAGCTCCCACCCTGGCAAGTGAGACTTTGCAACTAGTGAGAAATTTTTCTACCTTGTCATTTTAATACGTAAAATCCTGTTAGAATTTGTTCAAATTTTATATTCATCATGGATAACTAATGGAGGCTGTTCCTATGCAGAAGCAAAGAGGAAATCTTCATGCCTGAGAACACTGATAGACAAGAGGCAGCCTAGTTTCTGTTATTTATGTAACAATCAACTCCTATATAAAGTTCGCGGCCATATTTTCAGAGCTGCAATACAATACACAGAGGAAGCTGGAAATATTTCATAATCCTACTAACATACATAGGTTTTTAGCACATTAGTTATTTCTATGTAATCCTAGCATATGATTAATTCATTTTAATGGCCACCATTATACTTTTAAAGCAAATGACACAATATATTACCCTGAAAACCAAAACCACATTGTAAATCCTATTAAGAAAGGTTAAAAAAATTATGTGCTTCCCCAAAAAATACTTGTTCTCCAGCTTACATCCTTCGATGGCCTTCTCAGCACATCCCCGACACCGCCGCCGTTCCTGAGCCCCTGGTTCAGCACGGTGACGATGCACATGAGCAGAGTGTCACATGTCCTTTCAATCCCATCTTCATACTCTTCCTCAGCTACAAAGACACACAAATTAAACAGTGCAGCAAACCTACATTAAAAAAATATACTCTTAACCTACTTCCAAAGGTCTATCTCTAATTGTGCCATGACACAATGTTTTGAAGTCACATCTGTTTCTGTCCCATATGTGGCAGCATCTGACAGATACATATTGATAAAGCCACACATAGCATGTCCTAAAATATTTTTTTCTTCTATAGGTGGAAAAATGACAGAATGAAAAGGGCAAAATATAAGAAGAATAATATTCATTGTGCTTGTGTGGTGGGATGAGCTTGTGGAGAAACCTCCTGAAAACACAGCCCCGTCACCCAGGAGGGGGAGGAACTGCAGGGGAAAGAGGCTCAACAAGGAAGCTTGGCGGGCCTGGCTCCAAATCCTGCTCTGTTCCAGAATCAGGACTAGGACCAGTATCCTCACTTGTAAAACAGGGAGGGCTCTTTCAGGATTAAACCCTTCAGACGGTCAGGGATGACAATTTAAGGTATATAAAACACTTGGCAGAGATTGGCATACACACAGTAGGTGCTTAAAAATTTGTGCAGATATTATTTCATTATTGTGGTTAAGTGTCTAAGCTTTCTTAAGGACCAGCTTGGAGCTATTGATAAGAAGAACAATATATTTACTGAAAAATTCTACTGAGGGAGAAACAGGGAGAGAGAAAAAGATATAATGTGACAGAAAAATGTCTAGCTGTATTTTGCTTCAAGGTATAGATATCAAACCTGAAATATAATTTCTTAGTCACTTAAAATAGTGAAAAATTTATACCAAGTTGGATATTAGAATCAGGAATTGCTAATACTGGCAAATGAACAGAAATGTATTTTTCTCATTGCAAGGTTAAAGAACCACAGGGGCATTGAATTTTGGGATTGTGTAGTCACAGGATGTACATCAAGACATGAAGATAAAGACCACCACCAAAAAACAAAAAGTTCAGTCCAACTTTGTCTACGTGCTCTATGAGCAGCAGCGTGTTTGGTACTTTGTTATGAAAAGGCTGATTTTCCTCTTGTGAGCTGACTGTATTGTAACATCCTATGGATGAGGGATCCAGATATTTTTACTTTACTTAGAGCTGTTCCTTTTTAAACCATGCTGGGATATACCTCGAGAGGAGGGCCAACGTCACAGACGGGCAAGCACAACACAACTGGCTGCAAGGAAATGATGAAAGAATGGCTTTCCGTGCGGTGTATAAATAGGGGAGAACGCCCTGGTCAGGGCAATGCCAGCAACAACCCAATCATCCTGCTCAATAATGATCAGTACATAGGCCTGCTGGCTTTATATAGGAGCCCCTGTGAGCTTAGTTAGTAAGGTTCTACCTCTGTGAGATGCATCCACTCTCAATATGTTAAGCCAAATTCCCAAGGATTCAGCCCGAAAGTCAGGCCCTGAGTCATGGTAAATTCACCTAAGTAGATGCCGCCATGTGGTTACCTGTGTAACTGGCTGGCCTTCCCCATGCCACACCTGCCTGGTTTCACTACACCAATAGCCACTGGGCTGGGTGCTGGGAATACAGGGGGGAACAATGAAAGTGTCCCAGTCTACGGAAAACTTATCGTCCCCAGGAAAGGGGGGTCAGCAGATGGACAAGGGCAGAGCAGTGTCACAGCATCCTGCAGAGGCACATGGATGCACACCTCACAGACTGGGGCATCAGGCATCCATCCTGAAGGAGGTGGCACCTGAATTGAGTCTTGAAAGTGGGGTAAGCACAGCCAGTACCATCAGTGAGGGAAGACATTCCAGGCAGATAAGATGAGAGGAGCAAAGGCAAACAGGCATGACCACACAGGGGGAGTGGGGGGACCCTAGGAAGATGGGAGTGCCTGGGCTTGGTACGTGCAGAGGATGTGGGAGATGTGAGAAGCAAGAGGGGACTAGGTCATGAAGAGACTCATACATCAAGCCGAAGGGTTTAATTAAACTTTATCCTGAAATTATGAGGAACCACTGAGAAACTTTCAACTGTGGCAAGGTGGTGAAACGGTATGAGATAAAGTATGTACAAGACAAATTAGCATCTGATAAAAGACACGGAAGTGGAAGTCGGGCACATTGGTGTGTGCATGTAATCGCAGCTACTCAGGAGGCTGAGGCAGGAGGATAATTTGAGACCAGGAGTTCAAGGCCAGCCTAGGCGAGACCCCATCTCAGGGTAAAAAAATAAAAAGACACAGAGTGGTACAAGAGATTGGAATAGAGAGAGCCGTGTAAAGACACGGATAATTAGAGGGGAGCCCTCTAATTAAGGTAGACTCTGAGTTGGTCTTGACTGGTCTCTGGACTAAGACTTGAGCAGGGAAGCATTTCACACAGCATTGGCAGAAAGCACCAGAGGTAGAAAAATATATGCTTGTATGATGAATGGCAAATAAACCAGTGAGTATAAATGAGAGGAGTGGAAGACGAAGCTGGAGCAATAAACTGGGAGCTCTCTGTGAAGCTGCAGGGAGTTTGGGTTTTATTGGGCAGGTAATGGAGCGTCATGGAAAGCCCGACTTGGGGGTACAGAGGAAATATTCAAAGCAGTGATTTCTGACAAGTAGTCTAGTGGTGATATACTGGATGAACTGAAGAGGAGAGAATGGCTGGAGGTTGAAAGACCACTTAGGAGGCAGTTGCAATAATTCAGGCATGATGTGCCGTGAGCCTCGACCAGGGTAGTGGCAGTGAGAGGGCAAAGGATGAATGAAAGGGAGCTGCTGGGCTTTAGGCGGGGGGAGGGTGGCATCAATACCGCTCTGAGCCTTTTCAGTCAGGGGCGACTTGGGAAAAGGATGGTCCCATTAGATCATAGAAATAGGCAATTTAGAAGGAGGAACTGGATGTAGGGTGTTTTGATAAAGACAAAGAAAGCATCTCAGATGATCTGTATATTTATAAGATGAGATGACAAAAACACTTTAAAAAGTCAGAAAAGGCAAGAGAGCTGGGAGAATACTGTGATCTAAATTAAGGAAGAAGATCATTTAAGGATGGAAACAGTGTCAAAACTGTCAAAATTACAGAATAGTCAAAGGCAACAAGAAGGAAGAAAAGGTCACTGGATTAAACAACTGGGCCATCAGGAAACAAGAGGAAAAAGGCAAATAGTAAAGAAAAAGATGGTTGATGCAGAAATTGAAGGAGAGAGTGTAGGTCTATTGTTTTATAGGAAAATTTGGTACGGAAAGGAAGATGACGGATAGGATATGGGTTTGAGGGGGTAACAGAACCCAGAGGAAGGTTGAATTAGGATCTTAAGAGTATGTGTAGGAAGAGAGAGAACAGACCACAGCAAGGAAGAGATTTCAGATGTAAGAACAATGATCCAGTTGATGGTGGTGAGGGGGTAATGATAAAAACAGAGGTAGTTATAAAAGAAGCCAGAGAGCATGTTGTTTACAAACAGAAGGAAAGAATTAGTGAAAACAGGCTTTTAATGTGGAGACATTTAAAAGAACTAAATATATACATATGAAGAACTTAGAACAGTGCTCGGCATATAGGACTCGATAAATTCTAGCTACCGTAATCATTATTACTGAGAGATGGCTGTCACATCTTTTTTTATGTTGGTCCTTTTTTTAAGGCTTCATTTAAAAAAAAATTATTATGGGTACATAATAGTTGTATATCTTTATAGGTACATGTGATGTTTTGACACAGGCATACAATGTAAATTAATCAAATCAGGGTAACTGGGGTATCCATCACCTCAGGCATTTATCATTTCTTTGTTTTAGAAACATTCTAATTCCACTCTTTAAGTTAGTTTAAAGTATAACTAACTTACTGTTCACTATAGTCACTTTGTTGTGCTATCAAACATTGTTCATTATATCTAACTATATTTGTGCACCCATTAACCATCCCCGTTTATCCCTACCTCCCTGCTACTCTGCCCAGCCTCTGGTAACCATCATTCTACTACTCTGGGTCTCCATGAGATAAATTGTTTTTAATATTTAGCTCCCACATGAGTGAGAACATGCGAGACTTGTCTTTTTGTGCTTGGCTTATTTCACTTAACATAATGTTCTTGAGTTCCATCCTTATTGTTGCAAATGGCAGGATTTCATTCATTTTTGAGGCAATATAATATTCCATTGTGTGTATGTACCACAATTTCTTTTTTTTTTTTTATTTCAGCATATTATGGAGGTACAGATGTTTAGGTTACGTATGTTGCCCTTGCCCCCTCCCCCAAGTCTGAGTTTCAAATATGTCCATCCTTCGGGGGGTGCGCATTGCACTCTTTGTGTATGCAAATACCCATCCCCTCCTCCCTCCTCCCCCCTTGTACCACAATTTCTTTATCCATTGATCTGTTGATGGACACTTAGGTTGATTCCAAATCTTGGCTATTGTGAATAGTGCTGCAATAAACATAGGAGTGCAGATATCTTTTTGATATACTGAATTCCCTTCTTTTGGGTATATTCCCAGCAGTGAGATTGCTGGGTCATATATATGGTAGTTCCATTTTTAGTTTTTTGAGGAATCTTCATACTGTTGTCTATAATGGTTGCACTAATTTACATTCCCACCAACAGTGCACGAGGTTCCCCTTTCCCCACATCCTCACCAGCATTCATTAGGCCTGTCTTTTTTTTTTTTATGAGACAGAGTCTCACTCTTTTGCCCGCGCTAGAGTGAGTGCCGTGGCGTCAGCCTAGCTCACAACAACCTCAGACTCCTGGGCTCAAGCGATCCTACTGCCTCAGCCTCCCGAGTAGCTGGGACTACAGGCATGCGCCACCATGCCCGACTGATTTCTTCTATATATTTTTAGTTGTCCAGATAATTTCTTTCTACTTTTTTAGTAGAGACGGGGTCTCGCTCTTGCTCAGGCTGGTCTCGAACTCCTGAGCTCAAACAATCCACCCGCCTCGGCCTCCCAGAGTGCTAGGATTACAGGCGTGAGCCATTGCGCCCGGCTAGGCCTGTCTTTTTGGCAGAAGCTATTTTAACTGGGGTGAGATGATATCTCATT